CTCCCAGTCCCCTCCCCGCAGACCGTGGCTGCTCCAGTGTGCGTTTGGGCAAGAATTTCGAGGCGGGCCCAGCCGTAGCCCTTTTTCTCTAAACCGTCCAAGAACCGGAGCGAAGCTGGATCGGCAGGAAATCGGCCGACGCCGGATGCCACATCAAATCGGCAGGAGTCGGATCGGGCGAAATCGAACTCGGAATTGCAAATCGGAATCTCTGGATCGAGTCGGTTCGAATCGGCAGCCGAGGAAATCAGCTCGATGCGAGCCGGAGGAGTCGGAAAGACCCTCCTCCTCTTCCGCCCTCCTCCTTCTCCTCATGAGACGTCTTGAACCTTATATATCTTTGGCACTGCTCGAATGGGCAAGGGTCGACCCAGTAGAGAAGCAGCGACCCAGACGCAGACGGACGCGAGGGCGCTTGGCCAGGGGAGGCGGGCATGCCAGCTACCAGGCTGGGGCCATAGCATCGAAAGAGGTGCTGGGAGGAGATGCCCGGGCGGCAAGTTCTCGCACCCCCCCCCCTGCTGGGGCTCCTGGTGTTGCTGCCGCCGCCTCTGGCGCTACTTCCCCTCCCTCTCATTCCCGCTCACCCGTCGGCGAAGCCGACCACGAGTGGACCTTCATCAGAGGGTCCTGAGGTCGTCCTGATGCAGCGCGCACGGGCTGGAAGGCTTTTGTCAGCCTTTTGGAAAGACCTTTCGAAAACCTTCCCCGGGAAACACCTTCTGAGGATGTCTCGGGCGAGGCGCTAGTTTTCGCACCCCCGGGGGCCCAGATTGCGAGGATGTCTCGGGCGGCTTGCCTGCTCTGGTGGCCAGCCCCGAATGTCAGCGGGGGGGCGCCGCCTGGCCGCCGCCCGAGCCCACGCAGGGTGGACCCCGCTGGGGCTATCAACGGCGCCTCGTGGCTGCCTTGCGAGATCTCAGGGATCACAGCTTCTGTCTCGCGGGTTTCCCTGGATGAGGGTCATTCTGAGCTTCGACGGGTGTGGCTACTTCTCAGGAGGCTTTCGCATTACTTCCTTGTCAGAAGAAGGGTCTACGGGGCATTTTCCCTCCCCTCACGCCCGCGCCATGTGGAACCGCTGCAGTGGGGGAATCCACCTTGACCACGAGAGAGGGTCAACCCAGGTGCTCTCTAAAGTACTGCCAGCGTCGACTTTCATCGACTGGCTGGAGCTTCCTTGTGAATGGCACCCCGTAGTTTTTCAAACGCATTGGCAACTCAATGAAGGAAATTGCGCGAGATTGGGGACCATGGATGGAGGAGGGGGGACTCGAAACTTTGGAGTCCCGTTCCCAGGGCAGCGCATGACGAGTCGGAGGAGGATAAGTAGTGACCCTGCACGCGCTTTGCCCGAGTTGGCCAGAGCTCAAATGAGGGAACCGAGAAGTAGGGGAGGGCATCTTCTCATTATTTTTGGATTGGAGGGGGTGGTCTCTCTCCCTGCTTTTCGCGCTTGCCGCAAGGTTGCGCATTTTTGTGTTACACCTCGACATGGCTGCCTGCATCGTTGGTGGTTGTGTATATGTAGCGTTGGCCTCCTCCTCCTTCTCCTCCTCCTCTGGCTCCTCCTCCTCCTCCTCCCTTTCTCCACCTCCACGCGGAGTCAGTAGCTGTCAACAAAACGGCGTGAGAGAACAGCATGCGTGTAGTGATTTTGATGTTGCACAGTCGCAGAGCGATACGACGCCACTGGGAAACAAAGTATGCATGTTCCATGGGAAGATACCCCAGCTGTGCTACATGGGTGCGAAGCGTGGGACATTAAGTCGGGCTCAGCAGCACATGCTGCCCGTTACCTGACAGACGCAGTACCACCACCACAACAACGACCACCCGCACATATCTCCCCGAAGTATTTGCAATTCAGACGCCACTGCAACGGACAATGCAGCGACACAAGACACACCACCAAAGTATCCACCACCGTCACGATTTGGAGTGCTGCTGTTAACTGCCTGGCAAAATTTGAACGCCTTTCAAAAACCGACCTCCACCCTCATCCCAAGCGTCATCCCAAAATCGATCCCCCGTCTTGTTCCCAATCGCCTCTGTCGGCTTCCAGACGGTTGCAAGACTGCGTGGTATTGCTCCAAAGCAGCTGCGAGATACCCGAACACCAGCCCAAGCCGGCCCAACGATCGCCCCCTCCCCTGAGGCTCCAACACGCCCCCAATACCCCCCCAAACAAGTTCCGACATACCCCCGACATGCGCTTAAAGAGGCTTCCCGCGACGTTCGAGCATGCCGAACACAATGAACAACCTTGAGAGCAAGCAAGCAAGCCTTTTCCTGGCTTCGGGTATATCGCCTCGGGGAAGCTGTTTAGAGTGTCCTAACAAGCTTCGAGAAGATGCCCGAAGGCTGCCCGACAACCATCTGAGACAAACCAATCAAGCTCCAAGACGGCCCCGAGAAGTGGTAAGCTGGGAGGATGAGAGGGAGGGAGGGGGGATCAGGAGGAGAAGCGGAGGAGGAGGAGGACGAAGCGGAGGAGGAGGAGGAGGAGGAGGAGGAGGAGGAGAAGGAGGAAGAAGAGGCGAGGAGCATGACTACGAGCACCTGGAGGCAAAACAGCATCTAAAACCTCGTCCCTCAATGCTTGCTTCTTCTCACGATCCTCGACCCTCGAAGGGGGGCCGAGGTCTGGGCCCGACAGCTGCCGCAGGCTGTAGGCGGAGGCGTTGCGCAAGTCGTAAAGCCACTCCCCGGCACAGCAGGGATCCAAGGTGGCCTGCTGTCCTTGCCGCCCGCCGTCCGCCGCCGCCGTCGTGCGTCGTGGTGGTCGTGGTTTTCGTGGTCGTGGGTCGTGGGTCGTCGTGGTCGTCGTGGTCGTGGTCGTGGTCGTGGGTCGTCGTGATGGTGGTGGTGGTCGTCATGGTCGTGTTGGTCGCAGTGGTTGATATGAGTGTGATCGTCGTCGTGGTGGCGGTGGTCATCGTCGTCCTCCTCCACTCCTGCTACTGCTTCTCCTCCCCCCAACCTGCAAACCACCCCTACCAAGGTCAAACGCCGCTCGCTCTTGGAAGTGTTGAAATGGCACGACCCTGGTTGGGATTTTTCTTTCTCTAATGGTTCCAAGGCGTGGATCCCAAACAATATGTTCTAGCATTCTCGGACAGCGACCCGTGTGGTGCAATGGGTGCGTGATGTAATCTATGCGTCTCCACTGATTTGGCGCAATCTGCAGCGTGCACTGTATGCGATCTGTGTGGGGGGCCGTATGGCTGGTGCCAACTGTAGTGCACCGAACTGGGCATGGCAGACGGCGACCCCGAGAGATCTGCAGGGCGCCCACGCAGCGGGCGCTGGCCATGGGGCACCGACCAGGGACAGCCGATGGCGAGCCCGCGGCCCAGCCACTGCACAGGGCACCGTCCATGTGGCATCCACCACGAAGGGCCGATCGCGACTCTGCGAGGCCAAACAGCAAGCACCAACGCACGGCACGCCAGCCAGGAGCACCGGCAGGGGACGGCATGCTGCAGCCCCGCGGGCACCTCCCTTCGAAACAAAGCATGGACCTCTGAATGCAAGCGCTGTCTGGGGGAAAAGCAAGCTGACCCCAAAATACAGACAACGTAAAATGTAATTGCCAGAATCACCGAAGCAAGGCAACGTGAACCAATGCGGTGCAAAGCGATGCAAATAGAATGCAACGCAATGCAGACTCACAGTGGCACAGAAACATTGCAATGCAGTGTGAGCATGTGGGTTGAACTGTCACGCAATATGATACCACGCGCAGGCAATCCAGTGCAATGAATTGCAGCGCAAGTGCCAACCCATGCACACTCGAGGCAAACTCCATGCGACGACCAACTACATGCAATGCCATGTGACGCATTTCGTTGTGACATCTAAAATGCACGCGTACGGAACGCATCTGCAATGCGAACCCATTGCAATCGCAACTCGGTGCAGTGCAGAGGCAACGCGCAAGGACTGCGCACAGCAATGTACACACCATTCCCAGACGCATCCGAAAGCAGCTTACAAAACGGATGCATCATCAGGGCTCTGCTCTGCTCTGCTGTACTATTGCAGATACAATGAAAGCTATATACAGGTCCCATGCCATTCCATGAAGTCTATTCCAGGAGACGATATGCTTTGCTGTGCTATGTTATGCGATGATGTGCCGATGCCTATGCTGCTCTATGCAGTGCTAAGATGAGACGTCTATGCTGTGCTCTGGTGCGCTCATGCTGTTGTGAGCGCTTGAACTGGCACGAGGGTCTATGGCCCGAATGTCAAGAGGCCGGCCGCTCAAGCCGCGCCGTGACCATGGGCGCACTGCAAGGAACATGCAGGGGGCCCTCGGGCGAAACCTGGTAGGAGAAGAACACCTCCTCGCTCCACCCCCTCCTCCTGCCGCTCCTCCTGACGGCTTGGAACGTCTCGGGACGTGGACTCTCGGGGTCCGGGACACGGTTGGCGTGCCGCGCCGAGGCGTGGCGGGGCCAACACCGGCGGCCCGGCACTCTGAGCAACACCTTTCCTGACCCCCGGCCCCTTTGCCAAAGACCTCCGACGACACGCCTCTTTCAGCGCGCGGGCCCCTTCCCCGGGACCAGCCTTCTGCCCGAAGCCGCCGCTCTGACTCGCCTGGGCCCCGAATGCGGCCTTCAAAGGCCGAGGTCTGGGACAAGAACGGCTGCATCGAACAGAGCACAGCGTCGGGGGTCCCCAGGCATCCAACGTCTCGGCTCGTTCCCAGGGGCTTGTTTTTATCACCGTGAGTCGTTTCTTGATGGTCCCAGGGCCCAGGCCAGGGCCCCGAGGGGCCAAAAACTAGGAAAAAGCTCTAGTACGTTCTCTTCCAGCGCGCGGCCCCAGAAACCCCAACCGCCTCATAACCGGGGGTGTTTTTTTTTTCCGTCCCGGGTAGATCGTTGGCCCGAAGCTGGCCCCCCGAGAGCCGAGATTGAGGAACCATCGATAGTTGGAAACGTCCAGCATACCATCGGAGATCTGGGCCGGAGGCCTTCTTATGCCACGGGGGGCAGCTGCCCACGATACCGCCGGAGGGTGGGCGAGGCCACCCAGGGGAAACTCTCGAAGTTCAAACCCATCTCCGCTCTCAAAGAAGAGCGAGTCCGAGCAGAACCCCGGGCTCACAAACTTGTAGTCGGACGAAGCAGTGGCACCGACGTCGACAAAAACAAAGACCCCACGGTTCCTCGCCCTCGTCATCTTGCCGGCGGCGAGCGAGGGGGGGAAGCGCGAAGGCGAAGGCCTCCTCAGAAAGCTCAGATCACATCTCGGAAGGCCGGGGGGACTTCCGAGCCTTCTGAGAAGGCCTTCTCCTTCTCACCTCCCCCCCCAGGCTCGCCGCCGAACCTGGGTCGGAGGCCCGGACCTGCTCGTCGCCAGCCTGCCCACCGCCCCTCCTGCGAAGCTGCCCGAGCGCGGCAGCGGCGCGGGCGCGGGGCGCTCGGCGGGGGCCCCCGAGCACAGGCCGAACACCGCCCAGCCGCCTCGGGGTGCGCGCGCGGGCGCGGAGCCGGTGGCGGCGCCTCGCAGAGTGCCGTCGGCCCGTATACAGTCAGACGCAGGCCGTCGAGCGGCTCGACGGCCTGCGTCCGACTGTATACGGGCCGACCTCGACGTGCTGCGCAACACGTCCCGCTCGTGTCGCCCGACGTGCAGTGGGGGCCCATGCCAAGAAACACCCTGCTTGCCTCCAGGGTGCCCTGGGTTTCTTGGGTTTCGATGGTTTTGCCATGGAAAGCGTGCCGTTCCCACACCGAAAATCGATGGACGTCCTGGGGTCTCAGGGTTAGGTTTCTTGTGGAAGGTTTCCTGTGGTCGCGTCCACACTGTACATCTCGAGTCGCCGAGCGGGGGTGTCTTGCTTGGAGCCAAAAGGTTCGCCACCCTCCCGCAATTGCCCCGCAATAGTCGGAAGCCTGGAGATGCGATTGGGGCCCTTGCGAACGGATCTAGGCCATAATAACATCCTTCAAGAGCATGGGACCCAACGACAGCCAAAACGAACAGAACATCCAAGGGTACCCTCCCCAAGATGCACAAGAACATCCAACAAACACGAAGAACAGTAAGATACCCTCCCCGAACCGACCTCGCTCTTGTACCTAGGTCCAACCGTAATCAGGACGCACGATAAGGATGCAAGGGCCTTGGACGGCCATGTCGACACTCTGCGAGCGGGGCGCGGCCAGCGAAAGCGGCCAAGGATGGACCGAAGGGGAAGGATACAAGGGTAACCTTGGGAAATCGCTCATCCTTACTATGCAGGTTGACTGTGTGCGACGGTCCGCCACCGTGCCTGGTGCACGTTGAGGCGTGGAAGAATGCCAAGGTCTGCCCGGTCGGGTTTCTGTCATTCGGGTTCCCACGAGTGGGAACACGAGCCACCCAGAATTCGGCCCTTCTGCCCCTGGAGGCCCCCAGCAGGCCCCTTGCCCTCTCAAATGGCTGTCACCCAGAATGCTGCGCTGGCACGGTGGCGGAATCGACGGAGGCAGCTGTGGTATGTTTTTTTGGTATCGGTGATTTTTCGGATTTCTGACCTCGGGGGCCGTTTTCGGACTCCAGAATCAAACGTTGGTTCGAGACGCAAAGCTACTAGCCCCCCTGGGAAAGTGGTCGGAACCTCTGGGGACGCGGATTGAAGAAATCATACTGGCTGGTGTCAAGGAGCGCGGCGCAGCCGAGGCGGAGTGCGATACCCGCGTCGTCGTTGTCGCACTCCTGCTCTATCGTGCTCGTCCCCCTGCTCCTACTCTTCTACTCGTCATCATCGGCCTCTTCTTCTTCCTCCTCCTCCTGTTCCTTCTCCCCCTCCCCTCTGTCTGTCCTCTCTTTCCCGTCCCCTCCCCCTCCCCCTCCTGTTCCTCCTCCTCTTCTTCTGTAGCCATTTTGGCTCAAGCCAAGGTCCGAGAGCATTCGGAGCGCAGCGCTCCCAACATTCTTCACGATTCCTCGCCTCTCGGGTCCTTCTGCCTGGGCTGGCAGACTCTCGCGATGGGGATTCGTGGCCGCTGTGTGTGTCCCTTTGGCAGGGTGCAGGAGCTGGGAGCGGGCAGGGGCAATCGCCTGCTCTCGATGTGGCACCCAGCTCAGCAGCAAGAGGTACGGCCAGGGAGGAGGCCGTCGGTCCTCTCTTCGTCCCGCCAAGGCAGAGGCTGTGGTGCAGGTGGAGGTGCCTAGCGCGTCCAGCTCGACAGCGGCACCGCCGCAGCCGACGCCGACGACAACTCAGCCGCAACCCCGCCAGCTCGCAATGAAAAACCAGACCCTGCCGCACCGGCCCAGGCCCAAGTCACGTTCTGGAAGAAGCGGGTCTGGGTCCAAGCCAAGGAGTACAAGACGCCCTCGAGACGCTCAAGCAAGCGAAGATGACAGCTCTCCGCGGCAGGAGCCTCGACCAGCAGACTCAATCGCTCACCAATCAAATCATCACCTGCCGCTCCAAGATCGAAGGTTTCGAGACGGATGCCGACGTCACGTCATCGCCGAGACGATCGCCACCGC